ATTCCGGAGGCGATGGTACTTGCTTTTCCCAAGAGCTCGGGAGAGGGGGGCTCCCGAGCTCCCCCGTAGTCGGCGCCTATGGCGTTTTGTACCTCTACATTCTCCAACGTGAGGTCATGATCTTGATGAGCTTCGAAATCTTCAGGATAAATGACTCAGTATCTTCCGCTGGGCCATAAGACCCTTCAATATTTTTTGCGGTAAAAAAAGAGGCCTCTTAACACCTCCTCATTGAAGAGACGGAGTGCTGGGCCAACGCTCATCTTTTTAAAGCTGTTAAAGAAAAAAATTTGCTGATGTGAGGCCATAACCTTTAACGTCACATTTTCACAGTCACTTCTCCAAGCCTTTCTAATGCAGTCAGCGTGCACAGGACCCTTCGGCGTGTCCAAACCAGTGTCTGTAAAACCAATTTAGCAGATACTTTAGAGTGCAAAAAGTCCGAAAAAAAAGATGTAGAGGACGACTGTCATGACTGCCTGCATTACATGAAGCAGAGTCTCCCTGTCACTCCTTTTAATGTTGCGGGACGACGACTGACGCCGATCGAACTCGCGAGGGGCACGAAAAAGGGAACGGGCTTCTTTGCAGGACCGGTAGCCACTGTTGCAACCCGGCACGGGCCCCAGGAATTGAGGTTAGGGAGGGGGAGGGGGGGGGGGGGGGGGGGAAGAGGGGGGCATTGAGAATATAAGTGTAGTTGCGAATTAAAGGGGTGCTTTCGGAAAAACAAGGGGGGACTACACCCCCATAGAGGGGTGTAGGGAAATCACTGCCCCGTTACAAAACGCGTCCCGTCTCTCTTGTCCCGCCGTTTTTCCGTAATTGCACGCGTTGTCTACATCCCACTGAACGGCGCCGATCACAATCCAATTCACTCACCCATTAAAAAAAAAAAAAAAAAAAAAAAAAAAAAAAACTTGCAGCAAAACAAGGCGACGACGCGAACCACGCGATCACAAGCAGTACGACCACGCTGCAATCGGAGCGGGAAGGAGCACGCCTGTTACCCGCAGCGCCCCCTGGCGTCCTGGCGCGCCGTCATCGCTGCGCCGACCTCCTCCCTCCGTTGCTTCTCGGCGCGGACGACACACTGCCCAGTTCTAGTACACCATAGCTTGGCGTTCTTGAATGAGTTTGATATATTGGGTAGAGCCATAGCCTCCTATATACTGACAAAGCAAGGCAGATCACCACGAGAAGCGGCTGCCGAAATGGAAAAGGTGAAGCTGCAGACAACGAATGAAAGGAGAGCCACGCGACTGGCGACCTGCTGCGGCGAGACGCCGAAACACACTTCTGCCCAACGAGCAAATGTGTTTCGGCTCCTCGCCGCTGCAAAAGCTCTGCGCTGACATCCAGGTTCCCAGAAAAATGGGTCTTTGATGCTCTGGGCTGCCAGATCTTCAAGCCCCAAATCTGCGACCGAGCATTCTGTGGCTCTGTCGTCGAGCTGCCAGGCTTTGTAAGTATAGAGGGGGCTATGGGGGAAACTCTATACCTTCAACCTAAATACAGCTCATGTTTCTTGATTTTGAGCAATGTACGCCTATTGGAATCCCCGCTTTTTAATTCGCTCTCGTCTTAATAAGCCGGGGTCACACTGCTTATAACACCATACAAAAGACAGTAAGCATACAAATTCGAACGCGAGTCACTGCGAGATGCGTGCTTCGAATGCCGCATGGCAACGAGTTTAAGGAGGAAACTTGGCAGGCGGCATTCGAACCACGGATATTGCGGTGACTCGTATATGCAGAATGTCTTTTGTATATAATGTATTTGAGCAGTGTGACCTCGGCTTTTGACTCGCCGATGCCACCAACTCACTTTTTTTATCGAAACCTATTAGTGTCAATGACAGCGTTACCAACCGCTCTAATCTCCTTATCACTTGGCTTGCAATAAGGTCGCAGCCTTGTCCGGTAACGAAAATCAGGGACCAAGTATCGATGGAAATAATTACATTGCATATGTTTGTCACGCAATGCTGTTCTTAAGTGGACAAGGAGTAAAATAAAAATTGCGGCGTCAGCTGGCGCTATATCCGGTTTGTGTTCGTATGAGGTCACTGTAAAGAGTGGTTTATAGTTCAGCCCGCAACGCACCAAACTTATACAAGCAGCTTGACTAGTTGACAGAACATCAAGTTCCTCCTCGACCCATGCGTCAGATCCAAAGTGCGCTTCAAAACGCCTTTCATAAAGCGTTCTTAAACTTAAATCGAACTCTTTTTTTGTGCTGATATTTACTCTGAGCCTCGCCTGGTTTGTGCCTGAAAGTTAATCACGCGAATGTATAGAAATGTCCCCTCGTATTCCGTGAAGGGGCGAACTAATTCGCACAAGGCAGGGAGGGCACAGCTCTTATTTGGCGCGATCCTATCTAACGCAGAGGTAATTAGGCTACTCAATTAGTGGATGTCACCCCAGCTTTTATCGGTTTGGGAACAATTTGCCCTAACTTTGACTATACTTTTTGTGTTTTATGTCTCTGTTTTTTTTTTCCGCACAGTATCTTTATCCTCGATCACAGCTCAAAAAGCATGTTGGAAATCACGTGGTAGGCTTTGTTGGTTTTACATACATCACTGCATCAATATTAAGCGTGTCCGCTAATTAAGTGCTGTAGCCTTTTCAATGTGTGAAAAAAAAAAGAAAGAAAAAAAGATAGGCCAGGATGCGATATGTTTATGTTCCGAGAAATTTTCAACACGCCTTTTGATTATCGGATGTATGACTCTCCGGCGGAGTTTCATCGAACACGATGCGTAGCTTGAGCGCAACCCTATATAACAACACCTTTTTTCTAATACTGAGGGTATGAGAACGGCAGGGCGTGTCTTTGAAACGCTCCATCTCCAGCACGCGCTCCATGCCTTCTGCCATAGCCTCCTCTAGAGCCCGAGGGTCTGGTAGCACAGAGCATCAAAGAGCTATTTCTCGGGGAGCCTGCACATCAGCGCACAGATTTTGCAGCGGCGTGGACTCGAAACACACTTTCTGGTCCTTGCGTCTCGCGGCAGCGTCCCGCGGCAGCGGCGAGACGCTGTGTATCGGCATCTCGCCGCAGCGGGGCGCCAGTCACGTGGCTCTCCTCTCATCCAATGTCTGCCGCACCACCTTTTTCGCTTCGGCGGCCGCGTCTCGTGGTGGTCTGCCAGGCTTTGTCAGTATACAGGAGGCTTTGGGTAATCGACTGCCGCACTTTGAATGCGCGTGCGTGGGCTGGATGTGCACGGGACGACGAAGCTCGCGCGGAAGGCGGGACAACCGAAGCGCCCCCTTGCCGGTCTCACCCTTTCAGTGACTATCGATGATTTCCATCATGTGGTTTGAAGCTGCTTTCACGGCTTCGTCTTTAGAACGCCAGACGCTGAGAATCATGCTGAAATACAAACTTGCCGCCATTTTTTTTCCCGCTAGTTGCCGTCGATCTGGCTGGATTCGACAATGGCTTGGTTTTTATTTTTATTTTATTTTTGTGGTGCACCTTTTATACGTCGATAATGTTCCAGCGCAAACACGACCGAGCAAAGCCGAATGACGCCTATGCAATCAATCCTTCGCAAGTTGGATTTACGTGGATCGAGCTTAAGTGGGGCCTCCGGGTCGACCCGATTGGCAGCTCGGGCCCCTTCGCGCTTATCGTTCCGGGCCAGCCGTCGTGCCTGAAACCATCACCAAGACCGAGCAGGAGTGCTCGGAACGACCGGGTAGAACAACAAAAGCCCGGAAAATCCGCGTATTCATGGCAATAATTGAGGTGGAAACCGGTACTAAACAGGGTAGGAGATTCTCGGCTTGTCAAGAAACAGAAAGTAGTCGATGAAGTCATTGAAATATCTTTTTTACGGGCGAACTACCGATGCTACGGCTTGCAACTTATCGTGTTTTTCCTCCTGCGTTTTGTCGCCCCTTAATTTAACCATGCATTTTAAGTGGTGCGTGGTGCACAGCGACGAGTCAGCTAAGGTGACAGTCCTCCAAGCACATTAACGTGCAGTCAGCGATCAGGTGTCAATACGTAAATCGGGAGTTGGAAAATTCAAGTAATTTAAACTTTTATCAATTTAAAATTGTCTCTGTACTAGTAACCTGGTAAGTCAGCAGTCCGACATCACCGGGAAATTGCATGGCGTCAAGCATGGAGAACGCTAGCAGTGATAAAGAACTAGACGGACATTTCAGAATTATCGCGCTGTTATTGTTTTGTTTCTAATTATTTATTTCTAATTTAGCTGTACAAGCGGGAGACAAACCGCTAGGCATGCGTGTTTTTAGCATCTAGCTTCTTTACTTTAGCCTAGCGCATATCGCAACGTGCCTCTTTATCGAGATATTTTACTGACATGAGGACACGAGACCGTCCCATTTTGCAAGAACGGAGTACTTCCAGCCGCGCACCCAGCTTCACGTTTGCTTCTATCGCGCAGAAATATTTAACAAAAAATAAATGTATAAAGGACAGCCCCCAATACCAGGACCTTCAGAAGTTCCTAACGGCAAGAGCCAGAGAAAACCGCGGCCTATTCTAACGACAGCTGTCAATCAACGCCTGCGCGCCCATCTCGGTACATTCGAGTCCACAGAGACTGCGGGTATCTCGGGGCCAAGAAAAAAAAAAAAGTAAAGAAGGTTCAAATACTCCGTCATACCTCGCATTTCCACTTCCAAAATACATTTCACTTGCGCGTTCTCTGCCGCATCCCCTTTATTTATTCATTTATTATTTTCGCGCGATTCTTATTCAACCTTCCTCAAAGAACACACATACTTGCGTCCGCCAAGTACGCGGAGCAAACACCTTCGAACGTATGACCTTCCGAGGAGGCAACCTCTCGGTAAACCGCCAAAAAAGCAACTCGAGAAGTGTGTATAGATGCACCTAGATGGACGGCGATGACGAACAGTCAAAAAGGAGGTGACGTCGGCTTCATGCCGCGACTGCCCTCACTTGCGCTGCTGCTGACGGTTTCGTGTCTGTCTGCTTCTTTCCAGGGGCTTGCGGGGCCGCCTGGCAAGCCTGGGTTTCCGGTGAGCGGCGCCCGGACCTTCGTTTTCCTTTCTGGCGAATAGCATGCGTTCCGATCGCGCCGCTCAAGTGGAGAAATTAAGCCCGTAAACCCTCGTTATCCGTGGATGCCTGCTGCAGCGTGCTACTTGAGGGATCCATCAAGATTACAACGAGCGAGGGCTTTCTTTTTGGTTTTGAGCCGAACAAATACGGCGTCTCCGTCTGCCCTTAGTGTTCAGCAAAGTTTCTTTTTTTTTTTTCAAAGGAGCGCTTTACTGCGCAAAACTATAAGACTGAGAGATTTGGCGAGGGGGTAAGAGAGTGAAATAGATTGAAAAGATAAGTGCTGCGAGTATGCCGGTCGCCTGCAGACCTCTAAATCTCGCCGTGCCGTTCTAATTAACGCTATTTCATCAACCGGCGTGCAATTAGATCGAAGAGACCTTCCGATGGTTCTGTATTTATTTGTGTTCTGCACCTCCTTGAAATTTAAGGGGTTCTTTTCTTTTTGTTTTTCCTCGTGAGATTCGCGCTTGAACGTGTTTCTTGTGTGTTCATGCGAATATATCTGCAAGTTCGTGAACAATGGCGAAACTGCCCAGTGTTGTAACCGAAATTGTTTCGTCGAGAATCTGAAGGATTGCACTAAACATTCATTAAACGAAAACGTCAGGCGCTTTTATAGTGTCTGTCTATAAAAACAAAGATCACCATCGCAGCCGTCTTTCTACAATGTACGCAGGCAAAAAAAAAAAAAAAAAAGCAACTGCAGTAACATTGCATCACATTCCAAGTTTGCGTAAGCCGGTGTGATCTCAGCGTGCTTTTGCGAACTTTTTTTTCACCTGGCGCAATGTGCTCTCACGACGATAGTTCGAGTTATCGATCTCCGATTTCTAGTATTGTTTCTCTAACGTTGACAATCTCTGTTAAGGGCTGTCCACATGTACGCATTCAACACGACACGCTAAACGAGCGCGGCGAATCTGACCGTCCAATGTAACATATTCAGCCCCTTTCGAAGGTTTCCGAATGTTCTTCAAGTACGGTAAACAAAAGGTCGCTGTGATCGACTTGCACGATTGGTCAAATGCTCACGATGGCGTCTCTGCTGGGAGAAGTTCAGTCGGAGGTCAGACTGTCAGCTTTGACGGTGTCGATTTAAGAATTCACTGAATTCAAGCTTCCTCCGTGATTTCTTTTAACATTATCGAACTTGTCGTTTACGAGTGATGATGAGTATGGAGGATTGAAACTCCTGACGTCCCAACAAGGCAAATCCTTGTCTTTACGTCACGGATGGAAACCCTGAAGATTGCGCCACCGAAACATCCCGGCGCAAATAAACAGTTTTGAACGGCGCAAGCAGACGCTAAAATACGTTCGCTAAAATACGTTCGGAAACGTATTTTAGCGAACGGACGCTAAAATACGTTCGGAAACGACTAGATGCGACGAAAACCTATAGGATAATCTGGCAGAGATACCTTTGTTTTCTACCGATATGCCGGGCTTGGGACACAAGACTAATAAAGAAAGGCGGTCTCAATCTGCGGTGCCTGTTTAGCGTGTCACATCTTGGCCCCTCTGTAATGCAGTGAACAGCAATACAGTTTGCGCAATCGAGCAACGTGACCCGAGGCACATCAGTTTGATGGTAGCCGCTAGATAATATGATGACTGTGTAAACGAATCGTTAATCCTTCATTAGCACTGCCCTTTCCGCACACTGTAAGGCTTGCCAGTAGCAGCGTGGAAGCGAAATCTAAACGCACGAGAGGTTTTCTTAGCTCCTATGCGTCGAGAAAGTCAGGGAGAGGAGGAGGCGAGTGCAAGCGGCGACGTCAGAACGCCGAACTCTGATTCGAACGCTTAGTGGGTAGAGCTAAAGCTAGCAGACTTTACCTCCACTGCACTCGTCGAATGCAATCGAAGGCGAAAGTCAAACGCCGGACGCCGGCGTTCGGTGTTCTAACGCATTCGACGAGTGCAGTGGAGACAAAGGCTGCCAGCTTTAGCTCTACCCACTAACCATTACAGCCAGAGCTCTGTATCCTGACGTTCCCGCACACTTCCGTTTCCTCCTCTCCCTCACTTTCTAGGCGCTTCGGTTACAGTGCCGAGGCGTGGCGTGTGCCCTTCCTCGCGTATTCGCTTCCTCTCACCAACCGTCGTTTTCCAGGGCGCAATAGGAATCGACGGCCCGAAAGGCGATACCGTAAGTATTCCGACTGTTCCTATCCCGGCCTGATGCTCCGGTCGATGTTCTGCCCCAATCGGGGAACCACTGAACAACTAAACGTCCCGTTCCACAGGGTGACAAGGGAGACAAAGGCGAAAAGGTGCGTTCACACACTAAAACCGATATGAAAACGAGCGATACGTCAGCTTTCGGGTGCTCGCATGTATCTCCATCTTTGTTGGTGGTGCGTAACGGATTAAGGCTTGTGATACAAATGTAAGGCCAGCCTGCAGGTGCAGAACCGGTTTGCACCGGGAGTCCATCCCGGGTGACTCGTATGGAATCGGCTACTGTAATTCGTCGCATGCTCGGTTCATTGGTGTCAACTAGACTCACTGACAAATTGAGAAACGCAGAAGAAAGTCAAAGCACAAATTTACGAAGCAAGAAACGTGATTCCAATAAGCCATGACCTGCGTCTCTTAAACTGTCAATCACTACACTGTCACGTCACGTTGTCTCTCATACTTCGCCACATCAGTCATCGCACGTCCACACGCGTGAGGGGAGCAAAGTAGGTCCAGAAACGTCAGACACCCATAAAAAAAAAAGAAAAAGTTATATAAAGCCACGTTAGTTTTGATCTCTGTATAAGCATGCTCCACGATCAGTCTAACAAACGGATTCTTAGGACACGTCTTTTTTTTTTCCCCCGAAAACACAATGAACGGGAAAGTGGTTTTCGTAAGAAAGGTCGGGGGAATAAAAATATTGGAAAAATATTATACTTCTAAAAACACGGGTAAAAAAAAAAAAAAAAAAAAAATCTGGTCCCAATTTTTTAATAGGAAAACTGCTTCCGAAATCTTGGCACCTCTTTTATATGCTATGCTCGACTAATCTGGTGTAACATATCCTCGAGATTATACTTGTTTTTGCTAGTAATTTCCTTGTCTGCGTTGAAATTTTGTGCTGCATTTTTTATTTTTATTTTTATTTTTATTTTGTCCAACGATAAGATCTGGATCAAAGGCACACACTATCTAGATTGAAGGCGAACGTAGCTTCGGGCATTGGTATTAACTTACTATACATGGATGGGCATATTGATACGATGAACCCTTTGAATCGAGCAATAGCCTGCGCAATCGAGCCAGTGTTCTTGTATTAGAGCGCAGCTCTTAGACGCTCGTTCTCATTTTTTGCGGCGTCGGCGTAACCGGAGATGGACGGGAGGGTACGCAGGAGGAGGAGGGGAGGGTACCGAGGAGGAAGGGAGGGTATGAAGGAGAAGAGAAGGTACGAAAACGAGGAAGGGGAGGGTACGCAAGAGGGGGAGGGGAGAATACAGAGGAGGAGGACGGTGCAGAAGGCATGGTATGTCGCAAAATCGAAATACCTCGAGAGCTGCGCTCTAATTTCGCATTACAGATGTGTAAGCGTCTTTCATTTTTTTACTCAATTCAACTCGTAGCACCATTTACCGGCAGACAGTGGTTATCCTGCCTATCTACAGGTTGTCTCAAGTGGCGGCCAGCCTCTCCAAAACCTATCGCGCTACGATCTTCTGCAGCGATACCCTCAGGTGGTGCAGCTTTCCTATAAAATTTGCGAAAAGCAAACCTACCTGAGGAAAAAGTAAAGAAAGAAAAAGGCTTAACTCACATGGAAATGCAGCGAAGCCACCGGTCTTCAAACCATAGGGCGCCCCACTGTTTGAAGGCCGGTGGCTTCGCTGCGTTTCTTTAGGAGTTAAGCTATTTCCTGTTCTTTAACTTTTTCCTCAGGTGAGTTCGCTCTTTGCAAATTTTATAGAAAAAATGCACCGCCTGTGGGCAACGCTGCACAAAGTCGTTTTGCGCGATAGGTTAAGAAACCGATTTTGCGGTTGATTTAAAGGGCCTGGCCGCTATTTGAGGCACCCTGTATATTGCACTTGCCCAGATACAGCAGTATCACATGCGATGGTATTAGTAACGTAGCATCGTTTTAAACATTTGAACGGTTCACGCTAATATAGTCGGATGCAAGTTAAAAATTCGCCAGATAAACACAACCACGTACCAGCTACGACATCGAATTGCTCCGTGGGAGAGTCAGTAAAGGAAGTCGTCGTGACGTGTCGTGCGACGTAGAACTACGTGCGCCTTGGTAGCGGACGATTTGTGCAACGCGGAGGGGCATTGACTGTCGGGAAATAAGGGAGTGGGAGGAGCTTCTGGCGCATTGTAATATTGTGTCTGACCACATTCCTTTCAAGAGCAGCTGTAGCACTAAAAGGGACATTGATGTTGCATGAAGCCCATACCTGTATTCTGCGTCAACTATTTTGTGCTACGTTGCCAAGGCCACATTCCGTGCATGACACTCGAACGTGTCAAAGCAACAGTTGCGCGAGCTCACGCAAATGAGGCGCAAGGCGGAGCCATGTGCTCTCGCAGCGATACGATGATGCAACTCTGTGGAAGCTACGCTAGCTTCGACAATGTAGTAGAAAACAGCTGACGCGAGTATGGCACGTAACCATCGTTCATGCCTGTCTCACGTATGGTATGCTTGTGCGGCCTCGAATGCCAACTGCAATCCAAAGCGGAAACTATAACAAGTTTCCGCTCTGCGTAGGCTGCCCTCGGTATAACACTCGCATTCGCTCAGCCCGCATCCCTCGAGTGCGTACGGACGCCGAGGAAATACGTTACCCGAAAAGAACCCAATCATCCGGACGCTTGCCTTAAGCACACACAGAAGGTGCGAGTAAATAATAAGCAAGAACCGCAGTCGCACCTGTTCAGACTCCGCGCGACCTCTCCATCCCAGTTCGGCGCGGCCGTTCAGGCGTCGGCTCAATTTCACACCGGACTGATTCCGCCCAATTTGTTTCCCCCTTTCCAGGGCGACTCGGGAATCGACCTAGTCTCCAACGTGAAGGTAAGAGAAGTGCACTCGAAGGAGCCTCGCTTCCGCTCTCTTGCGCCGGGGCGAGGCACAGCCGTCCTCAACTCTGCGGGAGCCTCCCTCGAGGGAGCCCTTTTGACCGTCAGCCATTTTGGCTGGCCAAATGAGTTCGCGTACTGTAAACGGTCTGATGTTCGCGGGCTCGATATTTCGCGCATTTTCGCTGACTGTGGGATTCGGGAATATTTCCTGGACACAAAACATTTTGCGACTGCGCGAAGGTAGTGTTATGTATACGTATTCGTAACCATGGAAGGATGTATTTGCGTGGTAAACGTTTTCGCAGTATTCTTAAGCAGTGAAATTCGTGAAACCTGGGTTATCGCGAAAGTTAAGTCATTTACAGTACCGCCTCGTCGTCCCCACATTTGGGGAAAGGGAAAGAGTCGGCATATCCTACCTTGCGGAGTAGAAATGCTTTATAGTGTATTTAATAAATAAAAAAAAAAAAACTTTAAAACAACATTTTTGTTGTAACGGATAATTTTTTTTTTTTTTTTTGAGAAGTAACGTTACGGACCATGCGTACATCTTACATTACGTGACGCCACGGTGTAGCCTAACGTGGTGACGTCAGCTGAACTGGTCAGTGACCACGTGGCGTCACCTGACCAGTCGACGTGACGCCACGTGGTCACGTCACGTCACATGGCCACGTCATGCCGTCTTGCCCCAGTTTGTCTCGTACTACTACAGCAAGACCTTGTCTTTGGAGTATCGAGTACCCTCTAATCACCGACACCACAAGAAACGCGGGCATGTCACAGATTGTGGCGTTTGCCGATGCCATCGTTCAAGGACCAATCACGGAGCGAGACACTCAATGAGCCGTGCGTTTCCTAAGCTGTCGGCGATCATGTATAGACGAGGGTTGATCTGGATGAGTTCTCCATTCACTAAAGTTAAGCCTCAGCCCCCAACATTTTTTTTTTTTTTTTTTTTTTGTAACAGGGGTAGATTTTTTTTTTTTTTTTTTGAGGAGTTGAGGTTTGCCCATGTTCCGAATGCGGGGGCGGCGCGGTGTTCGCGCGCGCGTCCAAACGGCGGGGCGTGTGCCCGCGTGGCCTCTGATGCCGCGCCCCTCCCCACCCCCTATGTTTCAGGGAGTAAAACGTTCAGTCAAGATGCCCCACGGGGGCATCGCTGACGCCGCCGATTTTAAGGTTAGTCCGACGCGCTGCCGTGCGTGTCTCCGGTGCCTCCGCCATTTCCCCCAGCACCTTGGCCCCGTAGAGAGCGCACCCCCCGACGGGCATCGCCCGCACTGCACACGGTTTTCGACACCGACAATCTCCAAATGACTGGCCTTTCCTTTGCCTTACGGATGTTTCTGTCCGTTTGACGGCTGCTTTGTTAAAAACTCGGTTTATAGCTTGAAATTTAAACGTTCAGATACGTAACTAACCCTACACTTCGATGTTTGTTTTTACTCTTAAGTATTAATTAAAAAGCGTAATATAAGACAAAAATTGTTTCCTTATTAACATAAGAATTTCTAATAAGAATACGAACGTATACTTCATGTAACTGCCTTCAACTAATCAGGTTGATACTGTTACCTTATTTTTGGCGAGTTACAAAGAACATGACGAAGAACTACAACATTACGTTGAATCAGTTAAATCTATGAGGTGAAAACTTTGTTGTGGGACAATGAAATGGTGTCCCGAAAACTCTAATGCAAATTTAAACCAATTTTTTCTCGGTTTCATCTCACGGAACTGAAAATAATAAAATAGAGAGAACAGATGTTAGCAACAAAGAAAGAAAGAGAGAGATGTGGAAAGAGAGCAATGAATAAAATACCTGTATTTAGAGAACTCAGCCATTTCAAACATAAAACAAACTGTACTCCTAAAAAAAAAAAAAAAAAAGACGAAAATGAAAGGAATAGCGCGCAAACTAAGCTATTAGCTCTATGTGCACGCTGCTTTTGTTAAAATGTACAAATAGCAAGATTACAAGTCCCGTTGGTGTCGTATCCGGAAAAGCATAAAAAGTTAAAGGAACACTCGATATCTTTTTTTTTTTTTTTATCTGCAGTATTCAAGTACTTTAGATGAACATTCCAACATTTACGAGCAGACTCGGTAATAGTGACGTTAAACACTTTTTTTAGGGCGTGTTCCTGATAATTTTATTGTCGTCTCAAGGATTCGGTGCAGCGTTGCGGGAAGCATGAGCGCGAGTGCCGCCACTCACTTCATTTTAAAATTACGTGAATCAAATAATATCAGCTCATGAGACCGGGGCGCGTCATGAGTAACGACACGAGCAAAGGACTTGAGCGGTTTCATCGAACAATCAGTCGACTAAAAGTCATTCAAAGCCACAATTATTATAGAGAAAGACAAGTTAAAGCCAAATGACAACTGTCATACAAGTTTTGATAATATCAAGCTATGAATGTTTGAAAAATGAGGCGAGCGTTTCGAGATTTGGATGTCGAAGAACCAGGTGTGGCAGTCTAGAGCTAGCGGAGACTTTTTCTTACCCTCCCTTGCACTGCTCATGAATTCTGGCATGTCGCACACTTAGACTCGAGTAGAACATCCGTTGGGTTGAATGCCTAAAGTATGACTTGTGCACTTAAGCACATAAATATTTGTTTTTGTTTTGTTCTTCTCTTTTTGACCGAGATTTTGCTCGGGTGCATTTTCCATGATCAATGTCGGATCCACCACTGCGTTTTACGGAATGGTTTGTGCAGTGGACGATCGTGCACTACGTGTGTGTAGCACTTCGGGAGCTTGTTGTAGCTTAGAAACTGACCTAATCCTTAGTTGACATTTTTTTTTTTTTTTTTGTAAATTTAATATAAGGATGAAATGTATCCGTATAACACTATAGAGCTTAAAACACTGATCGCTCGTTTACCCGATCTCTTGACCACGATTTCTCTGCCTGAACATAATAATCAATCGGAAGGTTGATTGCAAATCTCGCTATTTCATCTTTTCTAAAGGGAAGACTTAACTTCTCGGACGCCAAATATACATTATAATGTTACCTTCATAGCCTCGTTTAACCTCCCTTTCTTTCTTCTCTACTTCAGGAACTTGCTAATATTGGAGTCACCTTCTCCCCCGGAGACGTCTTTATGATGAAGGTTTGTAACCTTTTCATGTATCGTGTATCCTGTGATGCCGACCAACGACCCTTGTCGTCTACGAAGTACCGAAGCAAAGGACCGAATGCACTCGGAAGAGAGGCCGAGTGCCCTCTCAGCTCTCTGTATCTTTATAGAGGAAAACCTCCTAGGTCAGATAGTTTCGTCACTTGAACAGGACTCACTGCCAGCGTCCGGGTTACTAATGTTACACTGTCTACGAGGTGTCCCTAACATCCCTGACCCTTATGTTGTTAAATACTGACTTTTGGAAGTGGGCGTATTTGTCCAGATACCTCTAATATTCCCCGAACGCGTATTTTAATTGCGCCTCTTATCTGATCCTCGTTTAAAGCGCAACTGACTGTAAAATGAAGAAACTCCATGCCTATCTGAACGGCTTTGCTTACAGAGACGAAGTTTTGCTTCGAATGTTGCATGTTTGAAACTGCCAAGTACAATGCACCCCGGAGGGAGTTTTCATCTTACCTTGTTGCAAGTGCTCATTTTATCGAATTCAATTTTATAGTGTAAGATCGTTTCAATACTTGAAGAAGAAAAAAAAATGAAAGGTGAAACGCACATGTCGAGTAGACCGAGCGCGCATGTTGCAGTTGAAATTTTTCCTACTTTTATTGGGAGCTCATAACGTGGTACGCTTAGCTAAGTGAGCGTAAATCTTCGCACACATTATCAGAATATTGCAACTGTGACTTGTCTTCGGGAACAAAAATAACTAGGGCTGGGCGTCGATTAAAAGTTTTAACCCGATTAATCGCCACCTTTTAATCGATTAATTAATCGATTAATCGGTCTCGTTAATTTCCATTCATAATATTTTTAATAAGTAAAAAAATAATATTTGTTTTCTGTTTTTGCCTTTGATGAACATGAGGTAAAGGTCCTAATACACAAGTTTTATTATTAACCAACCTTGATGTGTAGTTAAGAACAGTTCGAAGGCACTGACACATTATTACTTCAGCTGCATGAGGCAAAAAGTTCAGTGATATTATCCGGCAAGAGCAACCTCCTTTGATTGTTCACACTATAGTCTCTCTCTGCTGCGCTAAACGAACACTCAAACGCTATTGAAGTGACCGGTAGACGTGTAACCTTTTGCACCTTGTTCAGGAGTTACAAATCTTCCCCCTACAGTTTACTTTAGGCTAAACTTTGACCTAAAGTTTGCCCTTCATAGAGGTGTTCCCGTCCTTATCTGTGTGGTGAAAGCGCTTACTTTTTACTTTATTTTGGTTCGTTAAAATATTATTGATTAACCGGTTAAAAGATTAATCACGATTAAAGCATTAATCGATTAATCGGTAGGTTAATCGATCAAATGTCCAGCCCTAAAAATAACCTCATTTTTTTTTATTTATGAACTGAATTAAAATTAACCGGTAGGCTAGTTCGTTACATATATACCGAAAACCGCTCGGCGCAAAAAGACAAGGACTGGCAGACGAAGTACACAGGACAAGCAATTGTTCTGTGTACGCCTACTAGTCCTCGTCTTATGCTCTGTGTGTTTTCTGTTATACTTTATTTAGGCACGTTATTGTTTGTTTTTGTCTGTGAAATGATAGACAAAAGCACACTGGGATGCACTAGTGCGTGTCGTAGCTGAAAGTATTTCTAGATGTAAGTAAACTAATTGAAATAGTTTGGTCAATTTGACAAAATAGCATTGCAAATTTCAAACTCCAACCGAGATAACAAAACAAACAAAAACTAATGTCCGCTATGTCTTAGCTTGTTACCCAGATGCGATGCAAAAGGCAACAAAATCTGGCGTCGTAATATTAACAATCCATATATTTATTTTCATTCCAATTCGATGGTATATCTATGGAGCCAAGCGCTTTCATCGTGCGATAGTCTACAAGCATTTGTTTTAAAGGTTTATTGATATTCAGCCTTTATTTCGTTTGATGCGAATTTTATTTCTCTCTTAAAAGACCCCCCCCCCCCCCCCCCCCCCCGGATATATTTGGAAACTAAGCCATTCTGAACACGAGCGTGTGATCACGCTCGTGTTCAGAATGGCTAGCGTGCCGAGATTTATCGCAGGAATGCAGACGTTTTTTTGTTTGTTTTGTTTTTCTTCGGCACGCTAGTCATAATACTCTATCACAGCTGGAAAGCCAAATGCAGGCTCTTCGCCGAAAGCAACTGAGTAGACGTGTCGCACTCAAACCTACAGCTCCAATCGCGCTGAAAAAAAGGGGGAAAAAAAAAAGAAAAGCTTTTGCGCTATCTTTTTTTTTTTTATGTTACATTGCGCAAACTTTAATATCCACTTTGCCGGGCTCACTGATCGAGCGGCTACCGAAACTTCTCGTTCGTCGACGCCGAAACGCGCGCACACAGAAGAGACGAAAGGAAGCGAGAAAGCGAGAGGTGTCGGGTATCAAGCGGGAGCCGCAGCACGATCACGATGTCTCGCTTCCCCAAAACCAGGGCCCCCCAGAAGAGGCTACCAGGGCCGCACGTCTTTTCTGCCGATACCACCTGCAAGGTCCTGCGCCTTCTCTCCTTCTCTCCCGCCCCCCTCCCCTTACAAACCTTCTTCGCTAGAGGTTCTGTCGCCTAGCTCGCGTCATCATCATCATCATAATCAACGATGACGTTATGCCCAGGCCTTGTCTTCTAGGTGGTATCGCTTGAGAGCTAGCTCGGGAGGCCGCTGCCCTCTTCTGTCACGGTTGTCGTGGTGGACAGCGAACCTGGGGAAATAATATAACGCCAGCGCTAAAAGCACCGGCGCACTTGGGCTGTCGTTGCACGTCGTTCAAAGCCCGCGCGATCCCCCCCTCGAGCATCGGGCGATTAACTTAAACTCGCGGCCTGTTCGCCCTTCTCGGCTCCCCAGCGGAGGACCCATCTTTTCATCCTCGAGGGAAAGCTGCCCAATCAAAGACGGTTTTGCTTGGATGGCTGAGACCGGGGTTTCCCTTCCTCTCTGGTGAAGTCCTCGTGTCCGGATAGATCTATATATATACGTTTTTTTTTTTTCTTTCATGACGTGGTTTATTCTTTCAGTTTCGTTTTCACAAAAAGGCCCGTCGAACCAACGGCTCCTAAAAAGCACAACAGTAGTGTGGAATTAGAGACGTCGGTTGAAAGAGGCCAACGCGGGGCATGGATTGGACACGAGTGCTTCGTCGTGGTTCTTCTGGTTCTCGTGTTTCCGCTGATTGGACACGAGCCCCGGCCGAACGCTGACTCAACACTCGTATCCAATCTGTGCCCCGCGTTGGCCACCTCTTGCTGACGCCGAAAGTTCAGCACTACGAGGAGTTGTTGATCGTATCTTTGTCGTTAGTGACCCTTTTTCGGTTACTCTTGTAGGTTCGATGTGTAGTTGCCTGTGGCGTTCTGCTTGTCTGCTCAATGAGGATATCTCTGAGCACGGAACGCGCAGAGATATCCAATCCTACTAACTCGCCACGTCTCCTCTTTTGACGAGGCTATATGGACACTCTCAAGTGGCCACGTCTTAAAACTTAGTCTGGCCACTCTGCGTAAAAAAACGCTTTGATTGGGCACCAGCCTGACAACCGTGGGCATGCCTCAGGAAAGCTTGCCAGTATATAAAAAGGTCTACATACGTCAGTTGCAAAATGGTCCGCGACCAAAGGCCGTACTCGCAAACGTCCGTTGACCAACGCGCGCCTTCGACGTCACGCCTCAGCGGTGGCGCTGCTGTTGGCATGGCGCATGCGCAGAAGCTTTACCTCACGCGAATCTGTGTTTTGCTAGGTTGTGCACATGCGTAATGCCACCCGGTGCGACCAAACGCGGGCTTGTTTGTAAACAGCGTGTTGATGTGTATTGAGTGTCTGGCGGACGTTCACTCTCTTTTTCTCTTTACCACTCTCCTTTTTTTCCCCCTTTTTTTTTAAGGGATCTCAAGGTGAACCCGGTCCACCAGGACCCCCTGGACCTCCGGGCCCACCGGGGCTTCCAGGCTTCGACGGCGGAACGGGACCCCCGGGGCCTATAGTGGGTCTCCCCTGCTTGCCGCGTTCCGTCCTTCCGGCGGCAAACTATAAGTGACAGCTGTGTTGTGTTAGGAAACCATTGCAAGAAGCGAAAGTGTGCATTCGAACTGGTTAGGAAACATCATGATCTTAGCCCTGAGACACAGAGAAATAAATTTCCGGGTGGGTTTGGCGCCGGGTGTCTTCTCTTTGTGCGGTGTATATAGGTTGGTGATCAGTCTGTCTCACTGGGTTCCATCAAATCTTTGCAGCGGTATGTGTTTTTTTGTTTTGTTTTTGTTTTGTTTTTTTACTGTTTGTATGGACGGTTATACATATTGCTGTTCTCTCGAAATACACCCAACTTTGTTTGAGATCGTGTGTTGCCTTTCTCCGTTATTTATTTTGCTTGTCTGTGCCTCAGGGTTTATATTATGATGGAAACCCATCTTTGTTTTATTTGATTATATCATCGCAGATATTATGGTACACAGGCTACGTCTGAACTAGACTACGCAAAAAGTCGTCCACGTCATCAGAGGTGAGTACTCGTAGTCCTACATGCCGTTTCTTGGGTGCTGGATTGTTTCTAAGCTTTTCTGTGACCACAATTGCACGGATGCGACCATAGCGCATTAAATCGAGATATGACGACAATGATCGTATAAAAGAGAAATAGAAAGGAGGATTCCGGGCACGTAGCGAGACACCTGGTGATTCGACACGCTTCAGCCGCATCCTTGAAAATCTAGAAGTTTGGTTAGCTGGGCGAATTCGCACGACATAGTGAGCAGAACAGCGCACAAAAACACAAGGAAAGAAAAAAGGAACACAGAGATTGTGTGTCGTGCAATGTTCTTTTTCTCTGTCCGTGTCTCTTTGTGCACGGTTCTGTTCCCTACAACATGCAAATGTAGTCGTAGAAAAGCTCGGAAACAATCCAGCACCCAAGAAACGGCCTGTAGGACTACGATTGCTCACATCTGATAACGTGGACGATTCTTCGCGACGGTATCCAGACGCTAACGAAGAGCGAGATGTGCAGAGCTACTTATTTAAAATATTCCGCACGGACCATATGTGTGGGGCTACTCAGCGTGAATCTAGTGATGCTTAGGCTAACCATTCCGATTTCTAAAATCACTTGTAGCTTAATCTTTTTTTTTCAGATGCAAGGTTCCTTCTATTCCATTACATCTGTTCGTCTTTTAAATTAGTTGCGTAGTAGTGAACGTGCGGTATTTTGAGTGTCCGTCATTTTTATATGGGTTACTAGGAAGCGCATCCTGAAAGCGAACTTTTACCATCTTTATTTAACGCTTCCCCTTCGGTAATGCTTATTAGACCATCATTTCTCTACCTCGAACTCGAGATAATGACCACGTTTGAATTCCCACTGGAGAAACCGTGACGAACGGTACGGGCATGGACACATCTTCAGAGCTTTCATGCTTCAGCGAACGTTCTACTGCTAGCCCTTCAAAGAATCAACATCGAATATATCTGGTTTGACCTAATTTCCCCCATTGCCACGCTTGCCAAGTCCTGCTCGTAAACGGTGTAGTCATGGTCGCCTAACGTATTTCCATTTCCACGTATGTGTAAACGAAACGGATGTTTTTTTTTTTTTTTTATTATTATTATTATTACGCGGTTTTCTCGGAATTTACAAACATTCCTTTTAATCAGGTTTATACTATATCTGGATGCGCTAATGTATCAATATATAAGATTTTCTGTTGCAATCTCGTAACGTTTATTTTAAAAAAAAATGTTGGGCTATTGTCCCTTTGTTTCTCAAGATCAAGGAACATTTATTGTAACCATGTTTTTGTTTTCCTAGGGCCCTCCAGGAGAGCTCGGTCCCGGTGGGCCACCCGGACTTCTTGTAAGCAAGTTTTATTATTATTAATTGTTTTAATAATATAGTTTACACTATTATTTTTATAATTAATACTTGGGAGACGCTTAAGCTTCGCCTTTAAGGGTGGAACGCGAAAGCGTTATCCGGCCCCGTTCGCAAAGTCGTTCCGAAGCCGTGCAAGCGTGTGTGCATGGTCTACTCAGTAGCGTCGCATGTCACGTGACGCGTCACGTCACACGTGGCTTTGACGTCATGAACCTATCGACCCGCTAAATTAAGTGGAAATTTCTCCCGACAAATTTAGCGGCTCGATAGGGTAGCGTGTGACGTCAGACATGGCTGCGCGCGTTGCACTATGGAACTTCTTGGTCTCATCGACGCCGATGCTGGAGTTTCTGCCACACGAGCTCCTAAACGCTATGGCGTTAATATATTTTATTACGTGAGACTGCGAATTTCGACCTGTTTGATGCTTCATGCTGGGTATGGTCCCACAATCCCCCGCTCCCCGCTGGCTTTGATCGAACCGCGACAATCAACTTGGAGATAGCTGCATTTTTAATAATAATATTAATAATAATAATAATTATTATTATTATTATTGTCGGTCGGTACGCATTTTAACAATTTTCTATTAACGAAGCAGTGAAAAAAGCCGTTGTAATTAAGTTACTGTTTTGCCCCCTTCTTGGCGCTAAAGTTTAATCGTTTTGCAAAATGTCGATATTCCTATCCCCCACTTGTCATCGCAGGTGTCGCCACTATGCAGGAAGTTCTGACCTCTTAAAGGGGTGGTGCAACGATTTTATGATTAAAAGAATTTGCATCTCGTAATTTTTACGTTGCTTATCGTGTCCCAGAGGATAGAGAAAACACTTCTTTCATTAAAAATGTCGCGATTTCGCTGCATAATCGCAAAGCAAAAGTCGAGCTTTTTCCCCCACCTGCAGCCCCAAGTGGCAGCCGAAGGAACTACCGCGGAAAGAATACGTGACCTCGCTCGGCTCTAAGCTGCAGCATAGCGCCCGCTAATTTACGCAGAGAGAGGGAGGGGAAGCGTCCTCCGAGATAACACACGGGAAGCTACACGGCACTCCGAATGACGTCACTGGGAGTGCGACCAGGTGTGACCCTGAAGGCTCGTTCACACATCTGCGTTCGGAGCGACCACTATGCTTACGAACGAATGCAACCGCTGCGACTTCAACGACAACTGTGCGCGACGTGTACACACATATGCAACCGCATGCAACCGCACGAATCAACAGCCAATAAGAAACGAGCTTCAGCTCTTGCTCCTAGCCTATAGGAAGCAACCCAGCTACGCTTACAAACATGGCAGACGGTTTCGTGCCAGACGTGGGGTAGCGGGTCCTCGCCGGAGCAGCCAGAGGTTTCGGCTACGGCGTACAGTCACGAAGATCTGCTGTGCGCCTACAATAGCTTTGTAAAGGCTGGTTCAGACATCTGAAACGAACCCGTTATCCGCGACTGCGTCCGTTGCGACTGGAGCGACCGGAACGATCGCTCTACGCCGCGCGTACACTCCTGCTACCACTGCAACAAGTGCAGCGGGTCGGCAGCACGGCGACCGCCTCTCCGTTGCCGTCAGCTGTTTCAGCGGTGCCTCGAAAAAGAAGGGGACGCGCTGCCACTCACTTGCGTAGCAGAAAATAGACAGACCGTCTTCTATGACCTCAAGCTGTATTACTCTTGTTTTCAGGATACACTTGCAGGGTAGTGCATTAAAAAAAGAAAAAGATGCAGTACGCCGTCTTGCACGATCATGACTTTAATACAAGACTTAGCCAACAGTGCACATCTCGCCACACGCCTTTTCTACGATTATAAACGACGATGTAATCTTAGCAACAATATAGGAACGTAGAAATATAATTTGACAGACGATGCGAGCGTTCAGGATTGCTAACACTAATCACCTTTTTCGGGCGATGAAAACGCGTGAAAAATCGCATCCTTCATACGGTACGCACCAGTAATACCTTGAACTTGAGCACATGCATGAAATGCGCCAAAAAAGAAATCCGGGTGATGTTCGAGGACACAAATGCCAAGAAAGCACCACTGTAGTCGAAGTAAACAAACACGACGGCACGGGCGTTTCTGCTGTCTTGAGAGTGCTGCCACGAGATCGCCGCACGAGTAGGTGGATCGTCCCTTCTAGTACGTGGTGGGTTATCATAACTACACACGACGAAAATTCACAGTCAAGGATAGCGCTATTACGGGGAACGATGCCGTCCACGTCGACGATCACCACCGACGCCATGTTCTCAGATCGAAGGAGCCAGGGACGACCGGCATGCAACGCGCGCGACCGAGCTCGCTTCGACTTGTGATTGGTCTGTCGCTCCCGTCGTTCCCGAACGTAACGAAAAAGTTCAGCCCGGCTCAACTCCTTGCGTTGCGAACGAACACGAACGAAACGACCGTTTGGCGCTTCGTTGCCATGGTAACTCGTCGTTCCAACCGGTTGCATTCGTTCGTAAGCGTAGTGGTCGCTCCGAACGCAACTGTGTGAACGGGCCTTGAAGGCTGGGAGTGAGTTGAGGGGTGCCCGAAATACCAATCTTTATCTTTTTTTTACGCAAAAACTAGGACACGCAGGCGAAATCGGTTTTCTGTTCTCTACTTCAGAAGTGTCAGGGGGCAACTTCCAGAAATCTTTGACCGAAGTCCGAAAATCGTTGCACCGCCCCTTTAACATTATTGATGTCACATGCGCTTGGTGTCCTTATGCCCAGTGAGTGTAAAACTTGTTGCACACGAGCTCCCTCAGTGACTAGAGCAACTAAGCCGTTGTACTTAAAGGAACTTAAAGGAAAGCTGAAGAGGTTCTTGAAGAAACAGGAGTTAGTGGTGAATTCTAAAGTATATTTATCCCGTGAATCTTAATATCACGTTCGCTTTCCCCGAAGATGTAACTAAACTCGAGAAAACACGAAAAACCTCTGACCAGTCGTTACGTCATAATAGTATCATTTGACCGCTAAGCAAGTGTCACGCGTCTGGGAAGCGCCTGCAATGATATTTGTGATCCTGGAAGCCAAATGAATACAATTTTAAGCAACGCTAACACGCACCCGAAAAAATAAATAAATATATATATATATTATGCCAGGCGATTTATTTTGCTGTCAGGAGACTACCCAATCAAACTTTCGCTACAGCATCAGGTGTATTTTTAATAAAGTAAAAGGAAGTAACTGCTCGGAACCGAAACCAAAACTGGACTGGGGAGGAAGAAGAAATATAAAAAAGGAGAGCGTTGCCGAAAGTCACGTGGCTGTGCAACTTGATTTTTTTTTAATCAACGTATTTGCAGCCTTTTAGAAGCTACAATAAAATGTGTATCCTATTTCTTTCTCTATTTTTAATATTGAGCGTGTGCCCTCGATGACCCACGACTTTGCTTATATGTGAGGGTTGTGTCTAAACCATATAGAACGAGACATGAGCACAGAGAAGAGAGTGAGCGCGACTCGAACCGGCCAGTTCTTGATCGGCGGTTTTCAGGCGGAATGAGAACCAAGTTCGAGCCGCAAATCGTGTTCTGGGCAGGTGGGTTGTATTGTGTCATGTATAAATAAAAAGCTTGGCGAGCATAAATATCCCCTCAGCATCCTTTTAAGTGTTTTTTTCTCAAATACAAAACCACTTCAGTTTTTCTTTAAATGTATCCAGGAGTGTTGAGGGGCAATCTAGGAGATCCCTGGCACACCCAAATGTTCATTCTATTTCTGTTAGGTGTTGCCTACAAGGAGGCGGACTCTCCGATACTTTATATTTCATTTATATGTATATCTGTGCTTTAACGTATACGTGTGTTAGTTTAAATCTCTTTAACCGGAAATCGAAAGAACAAATGTTTAAGCTTAGCGTTATCTCTTCCGCTTTGATCGATTTCGTAATATACAGGGTGTTCGCGCCACTTCCGGCCGCCTTAACAGAGGGAGAGAAATAGCGGTTTTCCTACGTCTACCTTTTGTCCGCGTGGGTGCACGACGACTCTTGGTTTACTAGCAAGCAATGGCTCGAGAGCTCCGCGCTAGAATTTAGAAATGTCCGAGTCTCGTGCTTTTATGTTGCCGATGCGCACCGGCACAAACAAAATGTTACAACTTAAGTTCTTCCGATTACTTCGAGACAAGGGACACCAACTGACGCCGTCCAGCTTCACTGACCGCAGCCAAGCAGACGGTGCTTGCCTACTTCGATGTGCTGCCGACAGATGGCGCAACGCGACAAACGCGAGGATGCGGCGCCAGCGACACCTCGACCGATCATCTCCGTAGACGGATAGGTGCCAACCGGGCCATTGCGACACGTATAAATACAATCTGACACGGTACTCTTGAAAAGAAACTTTGAACACCAAAGCAAGCGAGTCAAAACATTAGAAAATTAGTCGTTACAAAGACTCGCGTTGAGCTGAAGGAAGCGAATAAAAACTTTCGGAAGGTTGTCTGCTAAAACCAAGGCCCAGCTCGGCGGCCCCTGCGGGGAAGCTCGGCGCGCTTCTTCGGAGCCTGGGAGAGGTGCATGCCCATCGCCGATGCCTTGCCGTTCACGAAGTATAGTGGAGCGTGTTTAAGGACGTGTGGATTTTAAGCCGTTCTCAGGTATATGAACCAGGCGGCTCGAATAGGTAGTAGTGAAGATGCGGCCACGGTACCATCGGCAGATTTGTAATTCCTTTGCGGGACAAGTGCTCTTTTCTTCCAACCATGGGTTCAGGAAGGCATGTCGATCCCGTATAAGTAAATTTCAGGCTGTAGTACAGTTAGTCCTCGGCGGTGAGACCTTACTGACGGGGGTCTTCAAAAGCAAGCGAAAACAATAGCCAACCGGAAGTAACATACTCCCACCGGAAGTTTGGTCATGTTTGTGTTTGTTTGCCTGCGCACACAATTTATCGCTTGCGATGGTTTAGTCTCTGAACAATCTGCTATTTTCTTCCAGGGCCCTGTTGGCAAAGACGGCTTGCCAGGACCAAAGGTATGTTAGCTCCAACACCGTATTTTATAGCGGGCCATCCGATGGTATGGTAATATTTCTTAATTATATTTTTTTTTAATTAAGAGCAGTACGTTTTATTTTCTTTTCCTATTATGAATATCAATTATTGCTTTAAAAAATACTATCAATGTTACTTCTGAGATTCCGAGAGAAATATTCGCGCAACGGCCAGTCATATCCGGAAGCATGAAGCGAGATTTCATAGATTTCAAGCTTCCACACAGAAAACCCCCCAAAAAAACAAAGAACATCAAAAACGTAAAGGCACAAAACGTATTTTTTTCTTTATCCAGCAACTGTTATATATATATATATATATATATATATATATATATATATATATATATATATATATATATATATATATATATATATATATATATATATATATATATATATATATATATATATATATATATATATATATATATATATATATATATATATTATAATAACCTTGTTAGGCTGAGCTCAAACCACCGAGGACATTCTTTTCTACAATTCGCTCGAGTATTGAAAACTCTGGTTTTCACCGCGTTCTTATGGCGGCGCATTATTAATGTCAAAAAAGTAGTTGATCATTCCTGTTTTACCACTGAGACAATATGACCACTGGAGCGCGACATCGCTCCCCTTTTTCACCGGTTACGCTTGTTATCAAGAGGTCAATAGTCTCTTCCTTGAGTACGCCGTGGTAAAGTACGCACGAAGACAATCCCGGTACCGCGTGTCTCAAATCGAAAGCTATCTTTCTCTCGCGGATAGTCACTTATTTTAGAGATTCCTCCCGCGATTTGTAGTAAAAGCCCACTGGCATTTTTGAAAAATTACCTACGTACGTCTCTGTGTCAAGATTTTCCAAGCAGATATATGCGACTACGTTTCGACGTAAGCCACTAGTGATTTCCTTTTGGCGTGACGCGCACCGAAACACGCCGAGGTATATATTACGACGCTGTCCTGCATTTCTGGTCGCGTCGTTGCCATGGCGACATATTTTTCTCCTCTTAATTCTTCATGGCCTCCTGCGACGACCGGTCGCGTATTATTTATGATCGTTCGTTATTGCTCGAGGCGCCGCCACGAGCCCGTTATGTGGAGAATGGGGCTGCCCTGTATCATCTACATACGCAAGAAATCATTCATCATGTGCTTGCTGTGCTCGTTCGTCTCCCTCTCGCTGTTGTGTTCGCCTGCTAAGATCAGTAGGATACCCTTGCCCCAAGCCCCGTGTTCACGAACGAGCTAATGATCTTGGTATGTTTCACAGTGAGGGACGAAGTGCTTCCCTCCACCTGATAACACCAGGTTACCAACCACAAGAAAAAAAAATCAAGTAAAGCAAGCTTCACTCGGTAATTAACTGTACAGGGTGTTTCTTTTTACATGCACACGTTATATATACATATCTTGTAAGGTGGGTGACCCTTACATGTGTGCTGTTTTCACTGTGTATTTCACGGGCTTTGCGGATGATAGACTGGTAATATATCACGATCCGTCGGCTAATTAACTAAAATTGCTAAATGAACGTTTTAAGTATTGGTTTTATCGGTCATGTTCGAAATTGCAGTTTTAAGGCCAGTCACTAATAATGGTTAGACCAAATTTATAAAAAAAGTTTATGGAAGGCAATGGTCTTTGAGATATTTAACGATATGTTTCTGAATGTTTGTCGGAGATTCAGGAAGTGAACGCACGAAGCGCGCCTCATTACCAATACACAAGAGTGACATACCCATGCCGATCACCTTTTTATCTTGGCAGGACGTCGTTTGGGGAAGCGTCGACCGGACGCTGACTAGATAACGAAAAGGTGTCAGTCACTCTTCTCCGCAATATTTAGGGCGCCCTACCATAAATAATAGGGCGCGCTTCTTGTTTTTATGTTATTTTTTTTATTATAAACTAGAACATGTAACTTTCTAATTGACCCTGTAAGTGAGTACGTCAAACATGGCGTCTGGGTCAAAAGAAACCGTTGCTAGGGACGTTGCTATGGACTAATGCATGGAGACTCCACATGAGGCTAGATTTTTGCTTACGAGTAAGTAAATATTTTTTTGTAAGTGACGTAACTTCATGATATCTAATTATAAAGATGTTCTCGTCGTCTCAGTGTCGTATTGCAATGATGAAAGCTACACTCGCTTTGCTTTGGTAGCAGACAACACGATATATTTTCTGGCCTTTGTTGCAGCGGGCGTCTTCATTGAATTGTGTCGTTAAACGAGTGACAAAAACAAGTGCATCGCCATGACAGTAGAGGCCTCCGCAATGTGCGTTTTTTTTCTGTGAAGAACCCAGCTTAGTTCAGGAGGGTGAAAATGCCGTAAAATCAAACCACGTCATGCAGTTCAGTTACGACGACGACCTGAAGTGCATTACTGGCGTAGTGCAGGCTAGCATGAGAAACAAATCGTATGCCGTCGAGGTAAGTCGTTTGTTATTAATATGATTATTGAGGTTGTCAGGTTATTAAAAAATTACATGTTTATCGCGATTTCGCAGTATTTTTTTCCCCCTTGATATACATCAAATTCCGTGGATGTATTCTTTTGGTGAAGATCTCCATCGAAGCCACGATGCGAGTATAATCTGTAATAAACTCACCTTATGTTTTTTATCCAGTTCTTTCGCGCTTTGGGGTGTTGCAGAAATTTTAATAAACTGCTAGAATCTTTCTCCACGCGATGGTTACAACCAGGTACGAAGCACCCTCCCATAGCGCGAGTCCGCAAACAAAATTTGGGATCTCAGTCGACCGCCTGAAGTGCTTTTCTCACGGGTGCAATGCGATCTTTTAGCAGACGACCATCTCGATCGACGTCCGGACTTTCGATTAACCATATTTTACATTGCACCAAACTATGAATTCTTATATGCGTCTGAAAATTATTATATTTCAGACAAATGAGATATCAGAATATCGTTTTTATTCACACGATTCAGACGCCGGCGCCGGCTTGGCTGGCGGACGTGTGGCAGGCGTATTACTTCTTGCATTCGTCGTCTGCTGCAGGCATCTTCAGGACCGGAAGTTGCAGTCGTGAATACTTCAGAAACAATCGATCACCGGCACACTTTTGTCGAAACATATACGACAATCAAGCTTCCTATATCTGTGATTTTTAGAAGTTTAAATCCTACTCCTGATTTTTGAATGGTCGGGTTTTCGTAGCGAAACCTAGCCACATGTATTTGTCCATAACAACGACCCTAGCAACGGTTTGTTTGGACCCATGACGTCACACTTACGGAGTCAATTGTATAATTAGTTGGATAATATTGGAGCTATACACCCGATTGATCTATCTTCTCCGCTGGTGTCAGCTCGTTTTAAATCTCCCCGAACGCGCTTAAGAGTCGAACTTCAATCGAACGTTTGCTCAACTTTGCGTGAAAACTTTGCAAAAGTCGCACCTGGTCGACCTCGAACCTCGGCGAGTTCTCGACATATCTAATTAGGATAGGCCATTCTGTGGTTCCAGCTCCGAATTTTGTTCTCCTTCCTCCCTGGGTTTAGAAAAAATTTATGGCAAACTGTTAGGCAATTGTGTTCCATACGTGAAACGTTCTAGCATCGGAAACGTTTAGCGATACTCCTGAGTTTTCAGAGGCCAGACGCCTATGTTCACAGCGCTCTTCTTTTGATACTTTAACGCGAACCATGTGTACACTTGATAGTTGTTCTTTGATTGAAGCGATACTACCACCAATCGGGCTGACGAACCTGGCGATCTTTTAGAGCCTTTCATACTCTCGAGCTCTTCTTCCTTAGTGCTCACAGGTAATAGAGCTCCTCCTCGCCCACCTCACTCCTCCTCGCCCACCCTCTGGTCACGTGACCTCTACGTTAACCAATCAGCGTCGAGCACTTGACTCCTCCTCTCCCACCCGGCAACCAATCAGTGTCGAACCTCGCGGCCACGCTTTTATCTTGGCTTAACGAAATACCGAAAACCTAGCCAAAGAACGTTTCACGTTAAAATAGGTGAGGCGATTGTAGCGGTCGTTACGGTGTCGCAACTCCTGGCTGCCGAGGAGGCTTCCGTAGACCGACAAGCTGGACAGCGATCTACGGCACAACATGCGTCCGCTGCATCCACCGCCGCTGGTGTGACACCGCAAGGATCGCGGCCGTCGACAGCACATGACACTCCCATGACGTCATCAGGCCGAAATTGAGCAAGGACCACTTTTGAGTATGTGGTAGACACACAGGTCGAAGACGCGCTTCCGGACACCAGAGTACAACTTGGGGTGTAGTCTGCGACAAAATGAGCTAGCCCAGGCCAGCGCCCATTGAAAGGGGCGAAATGCCGCCTTGGGAGTCTCCGACATGCTAAACCAGAGGTCTCAAACAAGCGGTCTACGGGCCGCATGCGGCCCGCAACTCGCTAAAATGCAGAGCTGGCAGTAATGTAATTACTGTAATGAAATTACAGTAATTTAATTACTTGTTCCAGTAATTAGTAATGTAATTCATTACTTTTTGTAGCAGGTAATTTAGTAATGTAATGAATTGCTCCAGCGACGGTAATTGTAATTAAATTACCTAATTACTTTTTCGCACCAGGCATATTTTTTGTGTTCACAATACACAAGAGCGCTTTTCTTTTTATTTTACTTTTTTTTTCCTCTCCACCTTTCCAAAAAACGCTCTTTGGCCGCCGCTATGTTGCTGATGCTAATGCGGCTGGTGCGACTCTCGCGCCCGCTATCAGCTAGACATTTTCTGCCACTCTCTTGAACTGTGAAAACCCGCTCAGCGCGATTCTCTACCTATGTTTTGCGGTGTTGCATTCGACGTTTTCTGGCACCTCTTGAAAGTTTCCGCTTACTTTTTCTGATGCATACTGCGTACCCTCTCTGTGTTATCGTCCACTGTGAGAAATAGGGCTGGTAAGTGCCTTCCATTCGAGCTTTTCTGCTCGACATTCTCGGGGAACGAAGGAGGGGAGGTAGGTCGAACCAAG